TACTCGAGGGGTCGCGGCCTTGGGATCGCGGACCCACTGGTCATGGTTTTTTTTTTTCCAACCGTCTTGCGGTGTCGCGTCGTTGTTTTGAAGAGGCAGCGTCCCGCGTCTCCCCCTCTCCCCCCCCCGTCCACTCTCATCCCATTCCTGTCTCTGCCCTTAGCATGCCTATTTCGGTACATGCGTTTCGTGGCCCCATAGGGGGGTCCAACTAAGCCCCCACGGGATGGTATTGCACGCGGGTCCCCCGACCATTTCAGCAGACCTGTCGCACGAATCGTGGCCCCACAGGAAGCTCCAGCTCAGCTCCCATTGAGGTGGTGCTGTATGCGGTCCGCGCGACTATGTCCGCACACCCCTCACACGTTCCGTGGCCTCATGTGGGGCCCCACCGAAGCCCTCAAGGGTTGGTGTTGCATGCGCCCCCCGACCATTTCGGTACACCCCACCAAGGCAACGCAATTGAGCACGGCGTTGAACACTTGATGTTTCATGTAGTGGTATCTCGCGGTTGAACAAAGACAGAGGCCCTATACGGCGAATTGCCAACAACTCAAATTGTCTTGCTGGGCACAGCTCTGCGATCGTACATCCGCCAGGCCACGGGCAGACCCCGACGGCGGGGAGGTCCCCGCAGGGTGCCCGTTGGCATAAGCAGTGCCGTCGCTTACGCCGAACGTGTCAAAGTTTCAAGCGGGAGGAGGGAGGGAGGGAGGGGGGAGGGAGGATGAATGGCAATTTCCACAGGTCAGCTTAGCACGGTTCATCCAGCTCGTCAGCCCACCGCGCCAACGCCCTCCAACTCGCTCAACACGCGGTCAATCAGATTCAGAACCTACCTTTCCATGCTCGGATACGACTCCGCATCCTCCGCTGACGACACCATCTTGTCGTATACCATAATTGCACATAGATAAGGGCACCAGCAAAACACTTCTACACGTTCTTTATCTGAACGCTGCGGCGTCCTCCCCACTGACAATCCGTGCGCTTTCGGCGCGGTCGCGGTCAGCCCTGCGACGGTCCGCGTCGCATCCGTAAGGTCGCCCTCGAACTCCGCCAGAAGCACAGAATGGTGACACCGGGTGACAGGGCAGGCAAGTTCCTCGTCCTTCACCCCGTGCGCCTCCTTGTCCTCCGCAGGCGGTCCCCATGAAACTGCAAACTCGGGGAGGCCTCTCGACGGGGGCTGCACGACGAACGCCGCTGTCTCCTCGTTCTCGTTCCTCTGGCGGTCCTGGGGTAAAGTGGGGCTGCTTCTGCTCCTCCCGAGCCTCTTCACCCCTGCCCTGCCGAGCACCAGACTTGGGGTGGCCTCTGGGCAGGGGCTGCCTGGCAGCCTGCTTGTCCCCGTTTGCCTCGTCCGCCTTCTGGCCGAGGCCCGGCGCGGGGCTGGCCACAGTGCCAAGGCGCAGCAGGTGGTACTACGACGAAGCCAGTGCACATTTGTGCACGTCGTGCTCGCCAACGCCACCGGGCAGTTGAGACATTTCGTGGATTGGCCAGCAGCCAGTACCAAGAATATGGTAGGGTGCCGAACACGTACGTGTGGCCTTCCTGTAGGCGCCAAACCCGGCAGGACCAAAACGGCCTCACGGAGGATGAGGAGGAGGAGGAGGAGGAAGACTGTCTGAAGGAGGAAGTGGATGGAGATATTGAGTACAAGGCTCGTTCGACTTCCGGATATTTGCTGCAAGCGTCGACTTTGCCCTGTGTCTCTTCGGCTGCGCATTCAGCGTCTGAGGTGGCAAGCTAATTCTCGTCAGCCTAATCAGGGTCACTGTTTCTTGTCTCGTATCGCTACTACTGCGAATGCCTGTATTCAATGTGGCAATCTCTACACTACCAAAACATCTGCTAGTGAACATCTGGGAAAACAAGTCTGGTGAGGGGTAAATGTCCTTGGTCTCGGGGGTCGGCGGCGTTCATGCCACTACCCCACTGTATGAATGTGAGTTATGCGGGCTCAGTTTCAGTATCTGCGAAGTGACTCAGTGGAATCTTCGCGCACATCTTCCCTTGGAGTCGCAGGTGTTTTTTCCCTTACCAGAGTGACGCAGCAGCAATGGGGTACTTTGTTCGGCAAGGTGATCGCCAAACCTGCTGCTTCTTCGAATGGAGAAGGTAACGATGGGAATGAGGCTCAGAAGCGAGTGGCGTTGGTGTCCACCTCGGAGGCCAAGGCTGATGTGGCTATGAAGTTTGGGGTTGACTAGCTCTCAGCGTTCGAGGCTGCTGGAAGCGGCCGTGACTTGCCTTGGAAGTTGAGGTTCTTCTCTTTGTTGCCATGAAGCAGGCTCAGGATCAGGAGTATATACTGGGGGTGGAGGGACAGAAGGCCCACAAGCTCGGAGCTCCTGTCTCTTTTCAATTCGCAGCGGCGGCGTTGGCTCTCGGGGGCAAAGGCTCGGAGTCTCAGCAGGCCGTGACTCGCAAATGCATGGGCAATTTCGTTCCTGGCTCGATTCATGCTCAGCTGAGTGTGCACTTGTTCAAGACCGAGAACATGTTTGACTCGAAAGTTCGGCGTTCGATTGCCTGTCACGCTGGCGGACAGGGACCTGGAGACAACGGTGGCTTCTCTTCTTTATGAACAAATGGGGTTCGAGGCGCTCACGGGCCCGAGGCCTGCGGGCACCTGGACATCGAGGGCCAGAAAATGCTGAAGCCGAAGTAGTCTGTGCCAGCAGCGTGTGCCTCTCAGCCGCCAAGTATGAAAGTGCGCCAGTGGATCTCCCTGAATACACTAAAGGGGGGGGGGGTCCAGAACCCCCCCTCTCCCACTTAAAGGGGGGGGGGTCCGAACCCCCCCCCCTCTCTTGAAGGGGGGAGGGGCGGGGGGTCCGGACCCCCCTCCCCCTCCCCTCCTTGGCGCTGGAAAGGGTGGGGGGGGTCGGACCCCCCCCCCCTCCTCCCTTTTGCGCCGGAAAGGGAGCCGGGAAGGGGGGGCCTCTCTCGCTTCTTCTTTCTGCGATGGAGAAGGTGTGTAGGAAGTATGGAGTTGGGAGTAGGGAGTGGTGAGTAGTGAGTAGTGAGTTGGTGCGCAATGAGTAGTGAGTATTGGGTAGTGACTATTGGGTAGTGAGTGGCGAGTAGGGAGTAGGGAGTAGGGAGTGGGGAGTAGTGAGTAGTGAATAGTGAGTTGTGTGTACTGATAAGTGAATAGTGAGTGGCGAGTAGTGGGTAGTGAGTAGTGAGTAGCGAGTATCGAGTAGTGAGTGCTGAGTAGGGGGTAGGGAGTAATGAGTAGTGGGTAGTGAGTAGTGGGTAGTGAGTAGTGGGTGGCGAGTAGTGGTTAGTGAGTAGTGAGTAGTGGGTAGTGCGTAGTGCGTAGCGAGTAGTGAGTAGTGAGTAGTGAGTAGTGAGTAGTGAGTAGTGAGTAGCGAGTAGTGAGTAGTTAGTAGTGAGTAGTGAGTAGTGAGTACTGAGTAGTACGTAGCGCGTAGTGAGTAGTAAGTAGTGAGAAGTGATGAATGGAGAGTAGTGGGTAGTGGCAGGGGGTAGTGAGTAGTGAGTAGCGAGTAGGGAGTAGTGACTAGTGAGTAGTGAGGAGCGAGTAGGGCGTAGTGAGTAGTGAGTAGGGAGTAGAGAGTAGTCAGTAGTGAATAGTGGGTAGTGAGGACTGAGTAGTGAGTAGGGAGTAGCGAGTAGTGAGCAGTGAGTAGTGAGTAGTGAGTAGGGAGTAGGGAGTAGTGAGCAGTGAATAGTACGAAGTGGGTAGCGAATAGTGGGTAGTGAGTAGCGATTTGTGAGTAGTGAGTAGTGGGTAGTGAGTAGTGACTAGTGACTAGTGACCGGTGAGTTGTGAGTAGTGACTAGAGACTATGTAATGACTAGTGAGTAGTGAGTAGTGAGTAGTGAGTAGTGAGTAGCGCGGAGTGGGTAGTGAGTATTGAGTAGCGAGTATGGGAGTAGCGAGGAGTGAGTGCTGAGTACTGTGTAGGCAGTATTGTGTAGGGAGTAGGGAGTAGCGAGTAGCGAGTAGTGGGTAGTGAGTAGTGATTTGTGAGCGAGTAGTGGATAGTGGGTAGTGGGTAATGAGTGGTGATTATCTAGTAGTGAGTAGGGAGTAGTGAGTAGTGCTTAGTGAGTAGTGAGTACTGAATAGTGGGTAGTGCGGACTGAGTAGTGAATAGGGAGGAGGGAGTGGTGAGTAGGAAGTAGTGAGTAGCGAGTAGTGGGTGGGGGTATTGAGTAGTGGATAGTGGGTACTGAGTCGTGAGTAGTGAGTAGAGGGTAGGGAGAAGTGAGTAGCGAATAGCGAGTAGTCAGTAGTGGGTAGTGAGTAATGAGTAGTGGGTACTCTTTGGGGCTGGGGTTAGTGGTTGGGGTTAGGATTAGGGGTTTGGGTTTTGGGTGAGGACTAGGGGTAGGGGTGGCGGGGGTCGGGTTCCGGAGTCAAGGGGCGGCGTGGCGAAAGAGGGGGAAGGGGGGGGTGCGGCCAAAGGGGGGGAAGGGGGGGGGTCGGACCCCCCCTCCCCTTTTTTGAAAGGGGCGAGGGGGGGGGTCCCCGACGACGGATCGAGGAAAGAAGGGGGGGGGGTCCCCGACGACCGATCGGGGAAGGGGAGGAAGGGGGGGGTTCCCCGACGACGGATCGAGCAAAAGAGGGGGGTCACAACCCCCCCCCTTTGTGGTTATCCAGCGGCGCACCCTCGATATTTCGTTTCGTTCAGATATGCTGTCTCCTCTGCTAGCTGGTTTTTGTAAATGACTGTTTGGATCTGAGGTGCGGCCGAGCGCCGACAGCTGCCGAACGGCACTGTCGCTGGCGCCCCCCAGTCGCGGGATGCCGAGATTTGCGAGTGAGGGGGTCGGCCCAAATTTTTCCGCCCTGGTCGCAACGGAATTCCACCACCGCCGCCCCACCTCCTCCTCCTCCTCCTCCTCCTCCTCCTCCTCCTCCTCCTCCTCCTCCTCCTCCTCCTCCCTCCCCCTTTCCCCGCCCTTCGCACGCCCCTTCGCAAAAGGGCCCGCCGGAAACTCGCAGCCCGCCCGAGGACAGGCAGTCGCCCGACCGCATCAGGCTGGCCCGCGCCGCTGCTGCAGCGGAGCAGCTGCTGCGGCGCGCCGCCGCACTCGGCGAGGCCGCGGGGCGGCTGCGCTGCCCGCCGCCCGCGGCTGCCGTCGGCCGTCGTCGGCTGACTGGGCCGCCGCCTTCGCCCGGCCGGGCGCCGCCTTCGGCTGGCCGAACGGGCGCCTTGGGCCCAGCCAGCCGCCTTCGGCTGGCGAGTTCTCGCTTTGCGCTCCCCGGTCCTCGCCCGTGCGCTGGCTGCTCATGCTGGAAGCGGCTGGCCGGTCGCCGCGTTCGGCCAGCGAGCTCTCGCTCTTCGTTCTCCGCTCCTCGCTCGGGCTGCCCCTGCGGCTCCTCGTGCTGCTCCTCTCTGGAGGCACAGCCCTTCGGTGTACACAGGCTGTGTGGTGTACGCTGACACTGTGGTGTACGCGGGCGTTGTGGTGTACCAGGGGCACTAGTGAACACAGGCATTCTTGTTCACACCTGCCCGCAGGTGAGCTCAATCACTATGGTGTTCACAGGTGATATGGTGAACGCAGGCATTGGTGTACCCACGCATTGAGGTGTACCCGTGGTTCCTCGGCGGGCATATTGTGGCGCGCACAGGCGCCATGTCCGCTGCTCGTGGTTACGGTTACTTTCAGCACGCCCTTTCGCTGTGGCTAGCTATCCCTGGCAGTTCTCTAGCTACATTATGCTCCTAGCTGTCCGTAGCTATTCTTAGGCATTTCCCGACGGTGCCCGCTCGAAACGTGGCAGTGCTATGGGTGGGCGGGTGGGACGGGGCCAGCCCTGTCATCTGGGCGCAATGGGGGGTCCTGGGGAGTGCTAGCTCGTTTGTTTCTGTGGGTGCCCCTGTTTGGACTCTGGGGCCTAAGGGCCCCCCTCATGGATCGATCTGGCTAGATGAACATGCCGAAGGCAGGTGCGGGCTAGAGATTCGGCGGTGATTTTTCACGACCTCTTTCTTCACGGCGTCGGATGTCGGATCTTCTGCCCTGCTCCCGCTGCTCCTGCTGCAGTCGAGGTTGATTAGTAGGTCGACCATACCAATGCAAAGGTACCCTTCTGTACTGTGTTTCGCGACCCATGCCTTCTACATTCCTATGGCAATGTGGCCCTCGGAAGGGTCTTGTGTCCTCCCAAGTGTCATCTCCAATCAGCGCCGACTGTAGATCCACAGCTGCTGCCGTCCTGTTCCCGCATTGTACCGCATCTGCTGCGCGAGCTGCGGTCCCTGCTGCTGATGCCGCTCCTCGCTCGTGCTCCGCCCGCAGCGTCTCCTGCTGCTGCCCCTGCTGCTGATGCCGCTCTTCCTCCTTGCTCGCGTCGCGGCGCTGCTTCCGACCGTGCTGCTGCTGCTGCCTCGGGGCCTCCCTGGCCTCCTGCTGCTGGTGCTCCTGCGCGTCCTGCTCCTGCAGCTGCCCGTGCTCCTGTTGCTGCCGCTGCCCCTGCCGCTTCCGCTGCCTCCTCTGCTGTTCCTGCTCCTCTCTGCTCCTCCTGCTGCTTGCTCCGGATGTGCCAGCTCCTGCTCCTGCTCCTCGCGTTTCTCCGCCTGCTGGTGCCGTTGCCCTGGCACTCCCCAGGTGCTGGGGCAGAGCCGCTGTCAGCAAAGTCAGATCAGCGGCGGAGCCAACAGCAGCAGCAGAGTCATAACCAACCCCGTGCAGCGGACACCAGCAAGCAATAGCAAGCAACCGCATCCAGCAAACACCAGCAAACAAAACCATCAGCAGTTGGCAGCAGCAGCGAGCAGCTCAGAGATCCCACGGGTAGGTCTCAAGAGGAGGCCCCAAGAGGCGGCTGTCAGCACCAAGCATGGACGTACATGCAGGAGTGCTTACGAGGGCCACGAGACGGACCAACAGTGGCCAGTCCACGATGGACCCAGAATGGTCTTAAGTCGGGACATGAGAGCCCCAAGACGGCCCATGATGGCCTCTGGTGGGTGCCAAGGCGTCCCGAGAGGACCCCCGTGTCGTCCCGAGGCGCCCAAGACTTGCCCGGTGGGCGCCATGAGATCCGTAGCGCGGTGGAGCACTGCTCCAGGGATGCGCCCAGACATCCCAAGAGGGCTACAGGAGGTGCACCTGCGGGCGCCCAGGCTCCAAGAGGCCCCGAGGCGCCCCAAGAGGAGTCCTGAAGACAACCCGAGAGGCCCTGAGAAGCTTCCAAGACTCGGGAGGGGAACAAAAACACACAGACAATTAATCGTCGATTCCCCAGAGAATATTGGAAAATATGGGAAGTGGGTGGGGGGGAAGACAAAAACCCACAAATTCCGTAAGGGCTTCGCCCCGTGCCGCCAGCCCCCTCTCTCGGAGAATGCGCTATGCAAGAGCTATGTCATGAGGCCTGGGCGCTGTCGTGAAGCAGTATCGGAACTTCATGCGAGGCCGACTCGTAATGTGCAAAACCAATCGATGACCAGAGAGGTTACCACACCTGGCGATTGGTAAGACGTCGTGACCTTGCCGATCTGCGTGAGGGGTGCTGCCGAATTTCAGAAATGTGGCAAATTCCATTGGTTTTTGCACCCTGACCCCGCCAATTTGCGTGAGAGGTGCCACCGAATTTTAGAAATATGGCAAATCCCTTTTTTTTGACCCTGACCCCGCCGATCTGCGTGAGGGGTGCCACCGAATTTCAGAAATGTTGCAAATCCCTTGTGTTTTTGGACCCTGACCCCGCCGATCTGCGTGAGGGGTGCTAGCGAATTTCAGGAATGTGGCAAATCCTTTTTGTTTTTGCACCCTGACCCCGCCAATTTGCATGACCGGTGCCACCGAATGTCAGAAATGTGGCAAATCCCTTGTGTTTTTGGAACCTGACCCCGCCGATCTGCATGAGGGGTGCCACCGAATTTCAGAAATGTTGCAAATCCCTTGTGTTTTTGGACCCTGACCCCGCCGATCTGCGTGGGGGGTGCCACCGAATTTTAGAAATGTGGCAAATCCCGTGTGTTCTTTGACCCTGATCCCGCCGATCTGCGTGAGGGGTGCCACCGAATTTCAGAAGTGTGGCAAATCCCGTTGGTTTTTGCACCCTGACCCCGCCAATTTGCGTGAGAGGTGCCACCGAATTTTAGAAATATGGCAAATCCTTTTTTTTTGACCCTGACCCCGTCGATCTGTGTGACCGGTGCCACCAAATGTCAGAAATGTGGCAAATCCCTTGTGTTTTTGCATCCTGGCCCCGCCGATCTGCGTGAGCGGAGCCACCGAATGTCGGAAATGTGGCAAATCCTGTGTGTTTTTGGATCCTCACCTCGCCGATCTGCGTGAGGGGTGTCAATTTTTACCCACCCCAGCAATTCAGACAATACGATTTGGGTGCGGTAGAAATGCCCGTTTTGGGCTTCCCCTCCTCGCGCGGTCCATCAACAAGGAACAGTAAGCAGCAAGAAGTCAACAAGGAACAGTAAGCAGCAAGAAGCAGAACTGTAACAGTGGAAGCTGGAAGCTGCAACTGGTGCAGGAAACTGCGAACCTCCGGCCTACAGCCTGGTGGCCCCGCGAGGGGGCCGGCGGATATGGGAAAACATGGGGAATCCTGTTATTTGTGTCTATTTATTTGTGTGTCCCAGGGCCCCTTCAAAGACACCTCAAGGCAGAACCCAGGAGGCCCCAAGTCTGCTCCGACGGTGTCCCCAGGCCCAGCGGCAGCAGAACCAGAAGCAGCAGCAGCATTGGAGCGAGGGGCAAATTCGGCAGCAGGAAGCTAGCAGCAGCAGCAGCAGCAGCAGCCCGCCCTGGCAGCAAGCCGAGACAGCGGCGATCACCAGCAATAGCCAGACCGCGCCAATGTGATCCTCATTTTTTGCCACGGCTGGACGTGCTTCGGGAAGCCGGTCCGCATGATGTCCACAAGGCAGACTCCGAGCGAACCTCTATAGCCAGTCCCCGGTCCTCAATGCAGGGTTCTTTCGGCAACCAAACGCGGACGATCAGGCATGCTGATGATGATGCTCATGATGATGACGCTGATGCTGCTGCTGATGATGATGCTGCTGATGATAAATGATTATGCTGCTGATGATGATGCTGAGGCTGGTTCTGATGTTGTTGGTGATTTTGACGACGATGACGATAATGAAGATGACGACGTTGAGGCCGATCGCGATTGATATGATGATGCTGCTGATGATGCTGATGATGATGACACTGATGATGGACATGATGATGATAATGATGATGATAATGAGGATGATGATGATGATGATGATGATGATGATTATGATGACGATGATGATGATGATGATGGTGATGATGATGATGATGATGATGATGATGATGATGATGATGACGGTGATGATGATGCTGATGATGATGAGGATGATTCGATGATTAGATGATTAAATGATTAGATGATGATGATGATGGTGATGATGATGATGATTATGATGATGATGATGATGATGATGATGATGATGATGATGATGATGATGATGGTGGTGGTGGTGGTGGTGGTGGTGGTGGTGATGATGATGATGATGATGATGATGATGATGATGATGACGATGAGACGGACGATGAGGACATGGGGAGGATCCGGACTGACCGCTCACCGCGTGACGTCCTCGCGGCTCGTCGTCCCCCTCGGCGTCGCTCCGCCAGGTGCGCATAGTGACCCTCGCCAAGGCACCGTGGGTGTCGATGTCCTGCGAGCACTTCTTTCCAGGCGCCCGCGGCCGAGCATGCATACAGGAAAATATGGCAAGCGAGCATCGGCAAGCGATGCGGCAAACGTTTCCTCCATGCTTCTTGTTTTCTGTGAAGTGCGCCTGCGCACAGGAATCTGGGTTCTTAGCATACACACGAGCAGTGCCCCTGGAGACCATGTAAGGATGTGCCCCATCAACGCGGCCACCCTCCTCTCTTCCGCCTCCATGGTGCCAGTTTGCCACAGTGCAATCCGTTTAGGCCACCCTGCGATGAGCGGCCGTCTTCGCCGCGACTAAAACATGTGCCCCATCACTAGCTGAGTAGATGTTGGTTTTCAGGGAGAGGCGTGCTCTCCAGAAGTAGGACTCGTGTGACGGCATTACCATCTTCAGAATCGAGGCGGGGCGATGGATCACCGCGTCTCCCAATCTAATTCGCTGACGTCATCATCAATTTCAACGCCAACGTCCACTTCCATGCCATCAAACGTGAAGTTTGTCGATCCTCTTCTTGGTGGTCGTGTTTCACGCTTTTATTGGCAGGGCGATTTGATCACAGTGCCGGCTGGTGTGTCAGAGGTGTATCTGGGGCTCCATATCGTGCAACCAAGTCGCGTTTTTTTTGTTTGGGTTGTTGTTTGTTTCTTGTGTCATATATATATATATATATATATATATAAACAGCCCCTTGCGAGCCTGAACTGTATTCGCATGATTCTGCTCGCACCATATTGGCTCGAGTCTGATGCCACCCTGGTTCGGCCCGGGCGATAGCGCTGTCTTGCATGCCCCAGCCATCTAGCACGGCAGATTTTCGGATATGTATGTTGTCCACTTACACCGTTATGGGTGGCACTGAATTGTCATGGTGACTGCGGATGATGATTGGACTGCCGCGGGTCTCCCTTAGGTTACATACAACTTCGACGTCGAAGCGCCCCACGTGCGTGGAAGCGTGGTGTTTGTCCTGACGATGAGCGCGAGGTTGCCGTGGGCTGCGATGAGCGTTCGGTCCGCTTCCCCTTTCGTTTGCTTGGATATGTGCGTCGGCGTACCTATGGCAGACGGGCACTTGTGGGCGTAGCGGTCTGACGTGCCAACTCTACGCATGATACTCCGTGCGTAGGACAATCGGGGTGTCAGTATTCCTCGTCCGATCTTGGGCGAGCTCCCAGTGCTAGCCAACCGCGAGCCATTTGCACATTTGCTTGCTCTAGTGTGTGCGTGTGTGACGACCCAGGCACAGTATGTACCGCCATACCTGCCCAGCGCACCGAAAACGACAGGTTCGGTGGAAAAGGCGACGACACAAGGATGGAAGAGCAGATGCGACCGCTGCCCTGATACCTCCCCGCTGCACGAGTGGAAGTGCGGACGCAGGCCGCTGGGCATGTTCATCTTCCGCTCTGGCGCGCCCGACCCAAGCATCTACCAACCACTGCCTGCCACCTTTCAGCGACTGGGTTAGCATCTTCCTGGCCATGCAGTGGAACGCCACCTGGTTCTGTGAGCGCTGCCTGGTTGGCCCATGGAACGCGCGACCGACAGACGTGGTGCAGGTTCTAACCAGGGACGGCGCCAAGGTGTACCCTTATTCCCCGCCCAAGAGACCGCGGCCCCCGCCGCCTCCTTTCCCCGCCCAGAACCTGTTGCTGGGGATGCCTCCCACGCCCGCGCGGGGCATCGCCCAGCTCGCGGATGCAAAGGACCAGGATAGGATGAACGAGGCGTTCGCAGATAATCTTGGAGCCTTCAGGGAGACCCAGGCCAGCGATCCAGACCAAACCAGCAAAGGCCAGCCACTTGGGAAAGCCGAGCGCGCATGTGCAGCCAGCGTGGCGAAGCCGTGGCCGCGCCAAGCACCCTGGCCACGACCGCGCCGTCGGCTCAGGAGGGCCCCCCCCCCCCCTGCACAGCCCCCCCCCCGGCCGAGGGCCGGGTCCCGCGACGAGAGGGCCAGCCCCAGGACTGGGAGCGAATGTCCCCGCGAGGACCCGACCGCCGGAGCCAGCCAGCGCACTCCCAGGGAGAGCAGAGACGAAGGTCAGGGGACGATCTCCACGACCGCAGGGGCCGCGGCGCACGATCGCGTGGCAAGTCGCCCGTCGCGTCGCCCGCCAGCGGAAGGATCAGGGGGGGGCCTGGTGACAGGCCGGCAGAGCAATCGCCGCTCAGAGGACTCCGACCGCGCCCCGCCGCCAGACCGGTGGTGGCGACGCAGCCGCGCTTCTGGACTCGGGCCACAAACGTCAGACCCAGCCAAGCCCGACGCCCTCCTGGACAGGAGCCCCCAGTCTAGGCGAAGCGACGGAGATCCTGGCCCGGGCGACGAGCCCAGTGTCCCACCCCCGGCTGACTTCACCGTCGCCGAAAGGATCTTCGACCTCCCCGACCTGCCGCTCCCGCCGTGTCCCAGCCTAGCCGTTTGGGAAGTGGCTGCCCTGCGACCTAGCGTGCTGGTCAACCCGGATCTAAAAGAGGGGGGGGGGCCGCGCCATCGCCCGCGCCATAATTCAACGCGCCCGGGCGTTACGTGACAACGTCGACGACGATGAGCTGCGACTGGGCGGATCGCGCGCCGCCCCGCGGGATCCTCGTGCGTGGGCGGGGGGCGACTGCAAGGGCTTCCTAAGCAGCGTTTACGGCCCAACGATCCCAGACGACGGAACGCCCAACGGATGGCCCTGGGGTGGAAGACGCGCCAGGCAACGGGGCTGCTCGGCCGAGCAACGGACCTCATGCCTGGGAACTGACTATCCCCAGCTATATTAGGAACTAGGCAGGGGTCCGAAAAGGCACAGTCAGCATTACCTCGCAATCCATGCCTCGCAGGGGGTCCAGGGCCTGAGGTGGGGCATTGTGCGCCCGGTGCCGACGCGAATTCCGCCGCCAAGTCAATTCAGATCAACGTGAGGACGGGCCCCCAGGCCGAGCGTCGCATCTTCGCCCCAGGCAGGGGCCCCTGGCGACGCCTTCCCCCGGACGAGGCCGGCGGCGCAGCAGGGGGCGCGGCATCCGCGGAGCTGGGGGCCCAGCCCGACAACCCCGCAATCCACGCGCCCCGCCCCATCGAAGTAGACGGCGCGTTCACGCCTCACCGCCGCGCGCAGTCTCGGCGGTTGATTATTCGCCCGACGCCGAGACCGAAGGCCAGGGCCCCCATGCGAACTCCAGCAATGAATCCCGCGGCAGCGGTCAGCAGTGCCGACCCAGAGCACGCCCAATAGTCGGTCACTCAGTTTTCACATCGCGAACGTGGCGCGGATGAAGGGGCCACGGGCGAGGCGGGGGCTAGCGCGCCCGGCATCGGCGACCGCCGCGCCAGCAGCGCAGCGGCAGAGCAGACTGTGCAAGCCGAACCAGCTGAAGGGCGTGCGCGCGGGACATTGAGGACGGCCGAGCACGGATGCAGTCGCCGACCCTGGCGAAGAGGGGCGGGGCGCGCAAACCCTAGGGCAGGCTATCAAGGGGGGGGCCCCCCATCTACCGCGCGCCCAGACTGCGCCGACCCAGAAGCGCCCGACTGGCGCAGGGCCCCGTGGCCCAATCCTGGACGCGCCCGCCGCGACGACCCCCTGGACAGGCTATGCTGTTGCAGAACGTGGAATTTAAGGTCCAACGCCCGTGACACCTGGCCCGGGGTCGTCAACGGGCAAAAGAGGGACTGCGGGGCCTTCTTCGTCGAAGGCTGGAACGCTCTCAGTGCCAGGGGCAACCGGGCCCCAGGTAGAGGGGCCTGCGACCTGGGCGGGCATGGTGCTTTCTGCGAGGACCTGGTGAACTAGATGTTTGAATATATTTCGACATCCGCGGGGGCGGTGGAGCGCGGGGGTCCACGCGGACTGGGGCGCCGTCCAGGGCCGACAGTTGCGGCGCAACGAACGGCGGCGAGACAGGGGCGAGGCGGAGGGAAGGGTCGCGACGCAGTTGGGAAAGGCAAGGGACGCGCGCCTCCCACCTGGCCCAACAACGACCAGTCGAGGCAGCGCCGCCCCAACGCGACAGGCTTGTCAGGCTTTTAAGACCCCTGCTCCAAGGCCAGATCAGGGCACCTAGCTGGCCCCCCAGACGGCAGCCCCTCGAGGCGGGAACCCGACGCGACGGCGCCGCTGTTCAGTCCGGAACCCCTGGTCATGGTGTAGACAACGCCCCCCCCCCCCCCCCCGCGCCGCCCTCGCTCGGCCCGCAGTGCGCCCGGGGCGATGTGAGGCGCCCGGCCGCGCCAGCGCCGCCCCTTCGTCGCCGTCTGGGTTGCCCGACGGACTTGGGCGCCGCGCGCCGACCACCCCGGCGGCGCGTGGCGCCTTTCCCTTCGCTGGTTCATGTCGCGTCTGTTTCCGCGCCAATTGGGTGCCCTGGCCGCGTGCTGTCCGCCCCGGCAGTGCGCGTCCCCCGTGGCCTCGGCCTCTTCGCCCAAACAGCTTCCGCACCGATTGGGTGCCCCTTGTCGTGGCCCGCGCTATCCATCGCGGCGGCGCGCGGCCTTTCGGCCTTGACCGCAGTTGACAGATCAGATTAGGTGCCCTGGCCGCTTGCTGTCCAGCCCGGCAGCGCGCGGTCCCCTTCGGCCTCGGCTGCCTCGGACAGACAGCTTCCGCACCGATTAGGTGCCCCAAGTCTTGGCTGCACTTTCCGCCCCGGCAGCGCGCGGCCTCGCGGCCAGGGTCGCAGTTTTGTTGCAGACGCGTCCGCGCCGCTGCTCCATGCCGGGCTGCTCTGGGCGCGCTTCAGCCACCCTGGCTCGCAGACCGGGGCAGCGCGCAGACGTCCACAGCAGCGCAGTGCGCGGGCCGCCTGCCTGCCGCCCGCCGGCGCTGGCGCTGGCGCTGCCGCCTCGCCTGCGGGGATCTCCCCGCGGGCGGGGCACTCCTCTCCTCGCCCTCTTCCCCCCCCTCCCCCTTTGCCGTTCTCTCACCCCCCCTCCCCTCCGCGCGCCGCCGTGGCGTTCGCGAGGCTTCTGCAGCTCGCAGCCTCCCCGCGTGGTTAGGCGCCTGGGCTTGGTCTTGCCGCCTGTTCGCCTCCACGGGCCCGGTTTTTTGCTGTTTGCAGTCCAATCCTAGACTCTAGACTGCTCGCGAACTTGCCGTGCCATGTCACGTGCCACCCACCTGGGCGGCCTGCGGCCCTCTTTCTGTCGCCCAAGTGCATCGCCTACTTCATCGGCAGCGTCGCTGCAGTATGTACTTGGTTTACACGCGCTGGGCCCCGTCATCGCCCGTGGGCGCCCCGCCCCGGTGCCCTGCTGGTGGGCTGCCCCCTCTCTGTCCTCGGATTCGCAGCCGCCCCCCTGTCCTCTTCCCACTCTTGCACGCTGGCCAATTCGCTTCTCGATGCCTTCGTTTGGCTTTATCGGTGGTTCAGTCAACTCTGCCTCGCCGCCGACGGCAAAAGTGAGTGTGTGCGTGCGTGGCTCGTGACCCCAGGTCTCAATGGTCGCTGACGTATACATTCGCGCGGCCGACCTCGGCGCATCCTGCGCGCGTTTCGTGCACAGGTCGGCAATTTCGCCTCCAGAGGCTGCCCCTGTACCTGGAGGCACTTGACAAATTATCACCTCGTGATCAGCTGACAGAACGGACGCTCCGACCGCCCGTTCTTTGATCAGTCCTACCCACGCGTACCTTCGTTTGCCTGTGTCTGTCTCATCCACGCCCCTACCATTTTCCTTGACTTTCCTTGCTTTCATCTGCCTCGCAGCACTCACATCTTCATGTGGTGTGGTCCTTCGCCAGGATATGGTGCGAATGTTTCCGATGATCTGTGCGAGTGTTATAACAGAGTGCGGAACGGTCTGGGGGCACTTGGTGCGTCACTTTTTTTTTCAGAGGCCCAATTCGCCGTCAAGATGGTTCCAGACGGCCCCACAATGGCACAGGATCGGCACAATGCGACCCCAGGATTCCCTAGAGAGCTTCAAGATCCTGCGAAACGGCCCCAACATTTTTCCAATGGGCACCAAGCTTGCACCGAAAAACCTCAAGAGTTTCGGAAGAGCGCCCAAGAAAACCCCAATACTGTTATACAACGGCCGTACTGATGTTGGGATGCCCCGTAAATGGCCCAAAAGGCCTCCAGTATGGCCGCGAGGCGGCGTAAAGGGGATCCGGGCACCAAACGTTCCCAGCTGTCCCAAGTACACCAAACATGTCGGAAGCTTGCGAGAGCCGCGCTTCAACATCAACCGACATCACGTTACATGTTTTTGGTTTGTTTGTTTTCGTGAGAGGCCTCTCGGGGGCCTCTTTTGTTTCTCTTGATGCCTCTGATAGCTTTGGGACAGTCAGATGGGGGTGCGCCCTGGTCTTCGGGTGTCATCGGTTGTTTTTTTGGGCTAGTGCTGGGCCGTTTCAAGGCAGTCTTCGTGCTGGTCTTGGGCTCGTGCTCGGTCTGTCCGGCCGTCGTGCGCTGGCCGTCCTGCACCGCCGGGGCGCGGCTCCTCGGGGGGGGGGGTCCCGGGGGCGGTCTCCGGGCGATGGCGAGACCATCTTGAGCTGGCCGCCGGACGTCGTTCGACCGCCGTGTGGCAGCCTTCTGGTGTACAGGGCCGTCGGCCCTCCCCCAGGAGTCCTGGGAAATTCGACAGCCCCAGGCACCCGAAGACTGCCACACGGCGGGCGAACGACGTCCGACGGCCAGCTCAAGGTGGTCTCGCCTTCGCCCGGAGACTGCCCCCTGGACCCCCAGACTTCACGTAGCGCAACGGTCGCAGCGGCCTCCCCCCCTGCAGACCCGATACTGCGTGAGGGGTCTGAATGCGATGATAACCGCGAGGTTGTTATTGTCAGCAATGACGTAAAAGTATCTGCGAAGATATCAGCAATGATAGGCGATTGATGTTGCTTAGCGGCACCTGCGAGGTGTCTACTGATACGCCCAAGCTCAAGGGCCCTTAAAGGATTGAGCCCAAATAGTTACGAAAGAGCATATGCTTGCTGGCATGCTATGCTACAATGCTTACATATCAGCACTGACACTATTTATTTCACACTCGTGCAAAATTCTTCTGATCTGTGCATCTGCCGATATAGCGCATTTAGACGTGGTGATGGCACGTCAACGAGCTAAAACGAAACCAGGCGCACTGCGCGCTTGAAAAGTGAGCTGGCACTGGTCAGGTGTGCTTCGTGCTCTCTGGCCTGGTCCGTCGGCTCTTGATGCTGCAAAGCGAGACGTGTGTCTCGCAGCACTGCCCTGATGGCACTGCCGTCCGATCGCTTGGTGAACTGACCACCGAGCTGCTGGTCAGTCGGAACCCCAAAGAGGGGTAGTTGGCTGCGCTGATCGTCAGCGACAAACTCGTTGCTAACTTCTTCTTCTAGTGACTCCTTGAGGCCCACTAGGTCGAGCAAAAGGCGCCGCTCTGACGGGAGCTTGGAATAACCGTCTTTATGCATCGTATCGTACAAGCTGGCGCAATCTGTGACCTGAGCGAGCGGCAACAGACTCGGCGGGATGTCCTCTGGATGGGCATCCGGAATCTCTAGCGAAGCGAAAACACAGCGTGTAATCTGAGCACAGCCTAGAGCGTCTGCTGCCGACATCGTTTCGGCTGCCAACGTAGATCTGCAAACTCCTCTTGATGGTGCCCGATCTCCAACCAACAATTCCTGCTCGAGCTCGATCTCCGCGTAGTAGCTTGGCTTCTGCGAGAAAACTCACGTAGCCAGCCTGCGAGCGAATCTTGATCTTCTTGTCCTTACTGGTTGCCCCCACGGTCTTGGCGAGCAACTTGGAGATGGCGCCTTCAGCTGGCTCGTCAGCGTTGGCCCAACTGGCGTCGTGGTACGTCACCAGGCACAGAGGTTCACGTAACTTAGGGAACTCCAAACCCACGTCCGCGTGCTTCCGCGCCAACTTGATGAGCCTGTTCGTCTCGAGCAAGTCCTGGATGGTGGGCTTGTTCTGGGTCCGCTGCCCCATGGCCACTCCAGCTGCCAGGTCGGGACGAGTCTGCGATGAAAACCACCCGAGCGCTCCGAGTGCGGAGCGGTTGTCCGAGAACTCGGCTGGCGTAGCATCTGACGACAGGTCCGTCTTGCGCTCCTTGCTGAGCGGAATCTCTTCGATGGTGTTCGCGTACTCGGTCTGTCGTAGATGTAGTACTTCCTCTTGATCTCGCCAGGCCTGCTTGCCGCAAAAGGTAAAAGGCAAGCCTCGCCAGTCGCCCCAGGGCAAAAGCTTGTGAAGCCTGTCGTAGAGGCCCGGGTACTTGTGCGAGATCCCCAGCAGCAAGTCGTCCACGTGGGCGACCACCACCGCACAGAGCTCACCGTGCTGGTCGTAGCCGTAGTACAGCGCTGGGTCTAGCGAGTGCTGGTGTAGGCGAAACACGTAGCTGTCGCTCAGCTTCTCCTCCACCGCCAGCAATGTCCTCTTGAGCTTCGCCCACC